ATTTTAGTTCCGTTAATGTTTGTCACCCTCCGTTACGGAATTTTAGACATAGGGTAACATATGTTAACAGAACTAAAGTTGAGGGTTTATTTCACTAAATCTTTAGTTGAAGGTTTTTGTTACGATCCATCTTTATTTGAGGGGTTTTATTACTAAATGCAGTTAAATATTTTAAAATCTTTGTTATCATTTATGTATTATTTAAGAATCTTACAATTGATTTATAAACATTGAAAATAATTTATAATTTTTTATATATTACTTTATCAATTTTTAACCTATTTATAAAGCTTAGTAAATATTTTAATATTTTTATAAACTATTAGTAAAGTTTAACGATGATTTTATAAGCTTTTGTCTGCTATTTCTTAGGATGGAATAAATACATGATTTTTGTTGATATTACGAAGTAAATCGATAAAGTTTTATAAAGGAGGAAACACATACAATTTTCTTATATTAATACAGTCAAATATCAAATAATTAAGATTTCTAAGATATATAAAGTTGTAGGTAGTGTTGAGGATATTTAATTAGTTTAGAAATCCAACATTGTTACTTAAAATATGACAAGGGCTTTTTTCTCCTCTTTAAACAATTTCAATTTGATTCGTACATTTTTCTATTTCAGAAGAAATAATGTAGGATTATTTTTCTTCTTTTTAATTTCTGAACCAATATGTTATACTCCTACCATATTAATCAATAAACTTTTCTTGTTTTATTTATTTACTTCATGTTTTTGTAGGATGACGAATAATCACATCTTTAATCTTATAAAATCATCATTAAACCTTAATAATTTATAAAAAATATTAAATGAGAAAACTTTATAAATAAGGTTATAAAATTGATAAAATAATATATAAAAATATAAATTATTTTCAATGTTTATAAATAAATTTTAAGATTATTCAATAATGAATAAATGATAATAAAGATTTTAAATATTTATCCGCATTTAGTAATAAAATCCCTCAACTAAAGATTGATCGTAAGAAAAACCCTCAACTAAAGATTTAGTGAAATAAACCCTCAACTTTAGTTATGTTAATGTATATCACCCTCCGTCTAAAATTCTGTGACAGAGGGTGACAAACACTAACTAAACTAAAGTTGAGGGTTTATTTCACTAAATTTTTAGTTGAGGGTTTTTCTTACTATCTATATTTAGTTGAGGGGTTTTATTACTAAAAACCCTAAAAACATTAATAGAAAGTGGTGTGGGATAATAAATAATAAGGTACAAAAGGAGTAAATGGGCAGAAGCATTGCATGTGAAACTCTGCAAGCATTTTGCAGTGAGTGTGACCTCAGGACATGTCGCTGCTTCACTACATGGGTCTACTTGTTCTGTCACTAGCATTCATTTCTTATTGTCTCAAAAGTATACAAATATTTTATGTATTTTTAGAAACTGTAATATACTAATATGTATTGGGCTCTTATGAGACCCAAATAATTTGACATGTGGATGATCCAGCTTTCGGCTTAGTGTCAAACACAAAATTTGTGTGTTTCACGTGGTGGTACGCACGTTCAAGTTATGAAGGTCGCATTACTCAGTGCAACTATTTAACAAAGGTAGGAGACTCCATTGTGTTATATTGGTTCGACCAAAAAATTGTCTAGTATGATTACTAGATTATTGATACACCATTCATCAATCACCTACGGGTTCATGTGATACAACAACATATATCTGAAGTGATGGACTTTATTGGGAGAACCATAACCAAGTGAAACTGTTAGATTCAGATTTTATTATCGGCTTCCAACTTAAAACTAATTAGTGATAACTGGACTGGCCTTTACCTTTTATATATTAACACTCCCAACATCGGGTGACTCTGATACCATATTAAATTTGGGTTTATTATGGGTTTCCAATTTAAAATCAATTGGTGATAAGTGGATTGGTCCTAATCCTTTATATATTACTTAATTACTTCTCTAACAACCGATGTGGGATTTAGTTTCATTCCTTAACACTTTTCCTCACGCTCATGCGTGGACAACTATAGGAACAACATTCACGGAGTGGCCCAGCATCGAGTGGCCCTGATACCATGTTAGATTCGAATTTTATTATGGGCTTCCAACTTAAAATCAATTGGTGATAATTAAATTGGCTCTAATCCTTTATATATTAACAGAAACATTAGTTTTTTTTTGGACAACGTGAAACATTAGTTTTATTACTAATATTTTAATCTCAAAATTTCAGAATTGGTCAGCAAGCAAAACTCAGAACTACAGTATGGTCTATCCACATTTTATTTTCTTTGTGTGAGTTAGCCTTTTGTGTTACATCTCTATTTTGTGAGAGTTGAACTTTAATTTTTTTATTCATTGATAAAGATGCCCAAATTGGTTGTCATGGTTAGGATATCTCCAATAGTTGACTTCATTTTTTGTTTCAAAAGTTTATTTTATTCAAAATAAAATAAGAAATAAAACACATATTTTCCAATGGTTTGTTTCATTTTGTTCTTGTCAAAAGAATATTCTAAATATATTATATCTCTATTTTATAATTAGTTATTAATAAGATATTATACTTTCATATTTACTAATTCTACTCAACTATTTTGTTTTAACAATAATCCAACACAATTATTATAAGTTTAACATTATTATGTAATTAAATTAATACACATAATATAAATGAAGAATATCAATACTAATTTTTATAAAAAAGCATCCAAATGTAGTGAAATTGAGGAATTATAGTTCATGTTAAGAGAAGAAATTGAAAGTGTGTAAAAAAAATTGAGTAATATATTTCACTTTGATAATAATTATATAAGGTTATCTTTCATTAAATTATTATAATAAACAAATATTAGAAATTAATTAGGTTATATTGATTAACATAGTTTATTTTATCAAAATGTAAGAACAAATAAAAGTAAAAGACCAATTTATAATTTATAAAGTTCATTTTTTTTTAAATGAATCAAGGAACCGTATTACTTCAAATTTGAAGTAACACTATTCACTACTTCATTTTGAATCAAGAAGTGAAATACCATTGAAGAAAAACTTGCTTTAAAATGAAAAAAAAAGGGAATTAAGTAACATTGGAGAAGGTCTTAGAGTTGCCTTCAATATATAAGTGTTGGATCCGAATAGTGAGACAATAAAAAATGGAGAGATAATAAAACGATGAAATTCTTTAAGGTGTTGTTAACACATAAACTAGAAGATTTCCTATTAGTTTTAGTAACGCAGCTGCAGGAAATGCTTGAATTCATGTGTTCGATATTCCAGTAAGCTCAACTCAAAACCTTTTTTTGGTCAATGAATCGTAGACCCTTAAAGGGATGAAATTAGTCATTTTTCATCAAGGGACTACCACCGGGAGAAATTCGGTTAAGGTTGCGTACATGTGTCCTTCATGGTTTAATAACGGGACACCTAAGAAGTTGAAAAATATCTTTTGACAATGATAAGACTCCAACGTATATTACTCGTAATGTAAACAGAAGAGTATGATCCTCTCACGAGCTAACCGAATACTCTCAAAATACTCGTATTCCCTTACAAGTTTGACCAATCAAATGATAAGTGTATCCTTAAGTTAATAGAGAGTATTTATACTACTTACTGAATATAACTGCAAAGCTTCTGTTTACTCCAGAATCTCTTCCTTCAATTCTTTCCCTCACCTATCTTCCTCCTCCTATGATAGACCCTCCAAGGCATATCAGACAAATATAGCGATAATTAAAGCATTTGTATAATAGACGAACGGCTATATATAATCTGCTAGAGAATGAGATATGCAAAATCGAGGAAGAGACTGTGCAGATTGAGACATGGGAAGATGTCAAGTGGGAGTTGATGAAGCAACTCTACCCGAAGAACATATACTAGGTGATGAAGAAACTAAGAAAGCTTCAACCATAAACTAAGAAAGCTTCAAACATATAATGTCATTTAATTTATTACCTTCTATTATAGATTCCAAAGATGACTTGCTGTTTCACTTCAATCATGGGTCAAAGCTAGACCATCTAAAGTCACACCTCGAAAGATCAGAATGTTAAGCACAGTAATTAAGAAGGGTCAGAGGAAGAAGATGGAGAGAAACCAGCAATGATAGGCATGGTTAAGAGATTGATGTTTATGGAGGCTTGAATCAAGTATAAAATGTGAAGGGAAAATGAGTCGAAAAACAATGGCATAGCCAAAGAAGAAGCAAAGAGGTTCAGTTTGATTTTGAAGGAAATAGAAGTAAATATCAAGCCGGTGAATGCAAAGTTTTAGCCACTTATTGGGGTTGCACGTGGGTGGAATTCCGAGTTCCGGATAAAGACACGGAAAAGTTTGCATATTTTTTGGTCTCTGATGAATGATGATAAAGTCATGATCAACCTAGTTTTCATGAGGAAGGCATGGACGTTACAAATGCTCTATCTCAAAGTAACGTGCATTCTTAAAAAAATGCTCCATGCATGAGTGTTCCTACAATACATATTCTCTATCTCAAAGGCTCAAAGCAAAATGATTTTGTTTTTCTGCTTCTAGCCGCGTTAGTCGGCTCTGGACTAGTGACAGTCACCAGCTTAAACCACGGTTAAACCCGACGAATTATCACATTGGCCTAAACTAAAGCTATAATAATCACTAACGACAAAGTTTGATAAAACTCGTTTAAACATATTTTTCTGATTTGTTTCCGCAGTAGCAACAATAGCTGAAATTTGTAGTTAACATTTTTTTTTCAATCGATGCCAATGTAAAATCAAAATGAAAACCAAACAAAGGAACAAAATAAAAGGACACAAGCAACCATTATAGTTGTAGGATAAAACAGAAACAATAGAATTAAGCAGATATTCTGATATGTTTCTGCAATAGCAATTATAGCTAAAACTGATGAACGGTTATAACTTTCCATTGGTAGCCAATCTAAACTCAAGAAAAAAAAAACGCACCCGACCAAACATCAAAAGGACAAAAGCAAACCATTGTACTTGAAAAATATCTCAGATCTAAGAAATCTGACCGCAGTCGGCGATCACCACGGGCCTTAAAAGCAGACGTTCCATTGAAATGTTCCTGACCACATCCAGTCCTTCAACAACTTGGCCGAACACGACGTGTACATCATCGAGTTCCGGATTCACCATCAAGCAGATCATAAACTGAGATTCGTTGGTGTCAGGACCACGGTTGGCCATGGAGAGGATACCCGGACGGTCGTGCTTCCTGATGAAGTTCTCATCCTCGAAAAACCTACTATCATATATACACTCGCCTCCGGATCCTTTACGTCCGTCACTGAAATCTCCTCCGGCAATAATATAACCGGGGTCCGCATGGTAGATGATTGATCCCTTGTAGTGGAGTGGCTTACCAAGCTTCCCCATGCCTTTCTCACCCGTACATAGGGCGCGGAAATTCTCTGCCGTCCGTGGTGTCGTGTCGGCAAAGAGCTCCATCACGATCCGACCAACAGGTTCGCCTCCCACAGTCATATCAAAGAAAACCCTAGGGTTAGCCATTTTCAAAGATGGATAAGGGAGTTTAGGGTTTTCAGATTCATGTTCTTTCTTGACATCACCAGCTTGAGGTGGTACGAGTAGGCCAACAGGGTTAATGTTAATTGTGAACCCACCACCAGCCTGAGGATGAATAAGGGATCCATTAACGTACAGTCTGCCGTCAATCTGTGGTACGAGTCCACCAATAGGGTTAATGTGAATTGTCAACTCACCGTGAACTGGATGAATCCTAAAGTTTGATCCATGTGAGGTAAAAGAAACTTCCATTTTCGAAGATCAAAGAAATATTAGGGTTTATGGGAGGCCTTCTTGTGTGCACCAAATGATAAGTATCAAAAAGAAGAAATATAAATCACGCAAAAGAATATTCTCTTGATTTTATTTTAAAGAGGATTGACCGGAGAATTCTGTTTTATTTAAAATATATAAGATGATGATAAGATCTCGAGGTATAAATTACCAAATCTAGTTGTATATTGTTGCTATGTTTAAAATACCTTTGGCGGCGGATTTTTGTACAATGATTTATGTTTTAGTAATTTTAAAATTATTTTTTGGTGTTTTAGTAAAAAAATTATTATTTTTTTCTGTTTTTCCATTCATTGATATTAGATTATTTAAAAATAAGAAAAAATTAAATACCTATGCAAAAAATATATTAGATTTTTGCTTAAATTGATCTTTTGACTTTTATTAATCTTCGTTGTTTTGACAGATTTTTAATAATTGGATATTATGTTCCTAAATATTAAAAAAGTATAATTAGTTAGATATACAATGAAGTTCGAATGTAATAGAATCAAAATAAATATTATTAATTACAATTACAGTGATTTAAAATACTAAAATATCAACAAAATGCATTAGGTCATCTCCAACTCAACTACAAAATTTTATTTTATTGTGAATTTAACACTAAAAATTTACACCAAATTTAGTGTGACACTATTCCCAACATTAAAATATTCTTCATCTCACTAAAACATTATTCACTTTATTTTATTCAGAAAGTATATTGTTAAATAAATAAAAAATAAGAAAATAAATATATATAATATTTTAAAAATATTTAGTGTAAAGTTTAGTGTCATAGTTGGAGAACTTTTTTTTAATGCTGAAACTATACTAAAATAGTATGATTTTGACATTAAAATAGTGTTTATGGTTTGAAATGTTTTAGAATCGAGATTAAAACATGCTAAATATTTTACTCCTTTCATTTGACAGGACATTTTTTCCAACAAAATTGATGTATGATTTAATACACTCCAATTTAAGCGAGCACTTCTCTGTTCTCCTTTTTAGAGCTTAGGCCATTTTTAACGGGATTGCTAAGAGGGGTGTTTAACCCATGAGCTCCCATAAAAATTATAATAACCGTTGCCAGCAGCTGTAAAATAAGCAGCGACTTTGTTATGTTGTTTGATCTTTTTATTGGCCCCACTGACACGTGGAAGTCCGCAATTGATTCTTTCTTTAATTTTTTTATAATTATATATAAAAAAAATTAAGCAATCTAAGAAGGGTTTTAATGTTAATGGTGCTCTTAAGGGCATCTGCATCGGTTGAAAATTTTCTCACGGTATCTCACAATTATAATGCCACTATTTTGGATTTACTTAGAATTTATAATTAACTTTCTTTTTGATAATAAAAATGATCCAGTTAAAACATGACATATGTGTTTTAAAGTATCTCAGAAATAGTAGTGGTATGGTGGCAGAAAGAGTTGATTAGAAAGAGTTGTAGTTTTATATTTCTTGCTGTAGAATTAAAACTGTAGATATTTTTTTTGTGGCTGTGAATAATTTTGCTATAAGATTTTGGTTGTAAGATTAAAACTATACATACTAATTTTCTAAAGCAGAAAGTGTTCTAGGTTTATTGCTTTCTAGAACAAAAACAAACAAAAAGGAAATAAAAATTTATAGCTTTAAAAAATCTTTACAAAGCATGATTGGTAAATATTTTTGGCTGTAGAAAGACTGTACAACACTTTTAAAACATTTGCCAATGGCATTTCTCTCTCCTTTTTTCTACATTTTTTTTATCTTTCTATATTATTTTTCTTTTAAAATTTTGAGAAATAAAGCTAGAAACTAACCAATGCGGATGGCCTAAGGGCACCCCCATCAAGGGATGATGGGGGAGGTTCACACCAAACCGAAAAAAAATTAATATTAAAATCATATTCTATGAATCTCTTTTTTAAAAGTTCACTGCCATGAACCCCCATAAACCCGGGTTCACCACATGTCAGCTATCGATTGGTTCGATTATTATTATTATTTTTTTAAAACTTAAACGAAAAAAGAAAAACTAATAAAATAAAGAAAATGGGAGGGGGGGGGGAGGGTTCACAAGAATTCATTGATGTGGTTCCTTCTATGGTTCCTTTCAGTTTCAACAAAAACTCGTAGATGACAAATACCAACAATTTTTTTTTAACTTAAATATCTAACAATTTTGGCCTGGTGTAAACGAATAACTTGTTTAAAAAATTTACTACTACACGGTGTTGTTAGCTGAACCAATATTAATCTTTGTGAGTCCATCTCTGGACATAAATAATTTAGGGGATACACATCCGCTAGAGCACCACAGGCATATGAAACTGATAAAGCATATGTGAAATTGTGAATCCATCCTGATTTTCGTGTATGTAACTTAGAAAGTAAACCCAAGTTATAATTGTCATGCCGAATAGCCGATTGATTTATGAAAAAAAAAAGATTAAGCAAAACAGAAAAGCCGAAAGATGTCCAGAACCAAACAAAAACTTTATTTTACTACTCCCAGTTTATGGGCTGAGAAGTGCTAAGGAATCGGGTTTTAAATGTTCTATTTGGGCCATAACAAGATTAACACAAAATAAGATCATTAATTGACTGAACTAATCAAGTAATCAACGATGTGGTTTCAGTGTTAGAAAGAAAATTAACGATGTGGTTAGACCGAAAGTGGCTTAAGAGAAACATTCAATAAAATCGTACATGGCCAAAATGATCATGAATTTTATCACCGCATTAAAAATTTCTTGAAAGTTAGAAAATATAAGCTTGAATATTTGATTAAGGGAAAATCAATAGAGAAATATTTATATTAAATTCATTGATTAATTTTTTATTTATTTTAAACTATTTGAGTTCTTTCGCTGTAACTAGTTATCTGTTTAATCATTTGTTTGTTTAGACTAGTTAAACAGTACACAAATTTTGTCATGTGTCTTGTTTAAACTCTCTTTAATTACTTTAAAATCATCTAAATCACCTCTAGTTTCATCTCTATATTTTTTTTCTAAAATAAAAATATATATTGTTCTAATGTAACTATATAATAGAGTTTCTCTATTTATAGAGAAAAATATAATAAAAATATTTTTTTCTTTTAAAATAAAAAAATAAAAGAATAATATTATTTTATATTTTTCTATAAAATAGAAGAATTTTATAATAAAATCATACTTGAAACAAAATCATATAACATAGATTTTTACTTTAGAATAAAATATAGAAATGTACATTGGAAATACTCTTATAAAAAAATCTGGCCAACTTATGATTCAGACTCCAGTGAAAATGTAAAGCGTTTTGGTGGCGTGGTGATTTTTTTCTGATCCGCACCTGATTAATATATAGAGCCGATTCTTGACGTGTGCTGGAAGAACAAAAGCACCAGATCCATCTTATTTGTAAAAAATACCTTATAAATTATGATCTTTTTGAGAATATTCTTTATAAATTAGGTCTTTTTTGGAAAAGCACTTTTAAAATATTACACATATGCATAAATTAGTCACCCATATATATTATGTACAGGGTCCATCAAATTGATTACTCCCATCATATTTGATTTATATATGAGATCGATGTTTTAAAATGTGGCACATGTTTGAAGTGTGTAGATCGTTTTATTTATAACAATTATATCAATTTTAATGGAGGTGAATATAAAAACCTAAGTACATAATCATATGAATATTATTTTTATATTAATAATATATATTAGTACAGTTTTAACTTAAATTTTATAAAATTTTCTTATATTTATATATATATATATAGGATACACGCTTCCAACACGTTTCTGCTTCCTAATCTTTTAAAAAATTTCGATTCTGCGTTTCCATACGATTCCACTTCCACGCTTCCGGTTACGTTTCCATATAACAAAAATTTTAAGAAAAAAAGAAAAAAATGTATCTTCTTTAGAATATGCAGTTGTAAAACGCAATATTAAAGAAATACAGCCGATCTTTTCCATTCGTTTATTTAGTCCTGATATACTAAGATATAGATAGTGAGCAATCCCTAGCATTATCGGATTTCTTCTGGGGAATGAAATATTTTGCTGTATTTTTAAAAAATTTATTATCGGGTTATTGGTGTAGATGAGGGTAGCGTAGCTTTTGCGGACCCATTGATAGATAAATAAGTATGGTTCTACGTCGCGATTATATCTTAGAGAACAAAAAACGTATTGTCTAAGACAACAAAACTTTTTTAATAAATTAGAGCACTAGATGTGATTGTTTACCCCAAGAATGAAATACTCTTTCATGTGATTCCTTGGTTCTCTACATTCACGAAAATCTATTTCTTCCTTGTCTTATTTGATTTGTAAATATATTAATGGCAATAGAAATGGAATGAGCGTTAAGTTTTGTTTAAATTCACGAAACTACTCTATATATAGAGTTATAAACTTCAAAACAAATATTAAAATATACATAGATATACTATATATATATATATATGTTTTATTTAGTAATTGGGTCTATGAATAGATAGGATTTTTGCTGATCCAAGTTTTGGTAATCTTAATGGAAATCGACATATATCAAAAGTAAATGAGTGCACTATTTTAAATTATACTACATCCATGCATATGGCACCATTATATTATCTGACTATAATATATCTCAGTACACTTGTCGACATAATTATCGGTGAACTTGAGTGAGTTATAAACTCATAACAGTGGAATACAATTATCTTAGAGTTAAACAACACATTTTTAAAGTGATCAATATTGGTGTGTACTAAGGTGTATATATAAATGATGTGTTTTGAAACCATCACATGTATTAACAGAATGTGCTCGAACTTCTCATTTTGTAGGACAATATCTACTGATATTAAAAAAATGTTGTAAAATGCATTTCAACAAGTTATTGTTATGATCAAACAAAAAAAAAATTATTGTTATTATTTGTGACTACGAAAAACTATAAATGAACCAAGACCATCTCCTTGAAACATTCGAAC